ATGGCCTGTGGTAGGCCTTAGCACTCGAGTAAAGAATGTGGATTTATGAGGTGGCCATAGTGAGCCACTGAGGATTTATGAGGAGGGTTAGGAAGATGAGCTATGCTGACCAGGGTTAATCAGCAGCCACCCCACACATGGTTTGGGGAAATGAGGGGGTAAAAACGTGAAATGCATTTATGAAATTTATTATAAGACTTTGGCTTAATGATAGTAACGATTTGAACTTACGTAGTGTTAGTAAGCGTGGAGAAGACATCTTAAACATAAGCAAAGTTTTTAGGGTGAAATAAAGAGGAAATTTTAAAGATATTCAGGTTTCCAATTGTGGTTACTATATAATGAAGCTTCTCAAACATTAACAATACAATAACATGAAGAAGGAAAGATGTGATCCAGGGCGGGGCAGGAATTACAAGGGTCAGACAATAGTGCAACGTGGTATTTTCAGTTTTTGAGATCACCAGTGATCCCAATGTTCTCTTCTCTGTTGTACTGCTAGGCCACCAGCTATCAATTTCCCAGGCTCCTTTGCAACTGGGTGTGGCCAAGTGATTTATTTCTGACCAATAGTATGTAATGAGAGTAATGTGTAACTCTCCCATATTATTATTTCCATAATAAAAGCTGCTTGTTTTGTACTCTTCTTCCCAGTTTTTAGAGGTCTGTATAAATGTAATTCAGAGATACCAGTTTCTGCCATAGGGCAGTGTGAATGCTACGAAAATTCTAACAAAACTGCCCTGTCCTTCCAACGCCCAGTTCAGGTACTAGCATGAGAGGGAAGCGAAAATTATATTCATTCAAACATTGCATTTTTGTTTCTGTCAAATCCGCAGAAGCAATATCCTAACTAACAGAGAGATGATGAGCTCGAGGTATTGCAGAAGGCAGAGCTGGCCAAGACAGCTGGAAGGGAAGCACTGTAGCCACAGAGATGGGCCAGAAAAGGAAACACGGATCTAGGAGTCTGCAGAACAAGGCTAGCGGGTGGCTGAGTCATCCAGTAAGTTAGATCACTCAGGGAAATGCTGTCCAGAAAGAACAGATGAGGGTCACAGAGAGCCCTGACAATACAGAGGGTCGGGTGACAGGAGAACAGGATCAGAAGTTAAAGCTGTAGACAGATGCGGAACGGTGATGAATTAAGGGGGTGGTGTGGGGGGGAGCAGTGGGAGAGGGGCCGTGCACAAGAAATAGTGGCCAATAATATCAACTTCTTCCAAGGTATCAAGAAGGTAAAAACCAAGAAAAGATCACAAAATTCGAGGTACTAGAGTTTACCTATGACAGGAAATGATCAAGAGAAATCATGAAATCCTCAGTCATCTGTTTCAGAAGGTAGAGGATTTTATAATAAAATTTAGAGAGTTCCATCTAAAATTGTATGTTAAAAATTATACGTGGGAATACTTTTCTTTCTTGGATAAGGAACTTTATTCTCCTAATCCTACACTCTGCAAAGGCTGGACTCAGCTTCCAAACACAGAATATATAACAGGAAAAGCAAACGATGACTTCCAGGGAGAAACCAGACAAACCACTGATCTTCGCCAAGTGCTGAAGGTCAGCACCGCCAGGGATAAGTCACATGGATATAATGCACTCCTGATACGATGCAGGAGAGGGCAATTCAGCTCTGCGGTTGTCTTTCCCAAACCCACAACCCAGGATAAATATGAGGAAAACATCAGACAGTCTCAAACAGAGGGACATTCTGCAAAATACCGGAGCAGTACCCTTTAAAACTGTCAAGGTCATAAAAAAACAGAGGAGAGACTGAGAAATCATCTCAGACTTCTGACTTAGGAGACTTGAGGACTAACTTCCGTGGCCTTTCTGGGTGGAAACAGAAAGAAGCAAACAAAAACAAATGGAAAAACTAGCAAAATTCAAACAAAGTGCGGGGTTTAGTTAACAGCACTGTACCCCTGATAATTTCTTAGTTTTGACCAGTATACTGTGGATATATACAATGCTGAAATATGGAAATCTGGGTGAAGGATGTTCTCTCTGTACTTCTCTTTGTAACTTTTCTCTAAATCTAAAATCGTTCCAACATAAAATGCTTACTTAGCAAAACTATAGAGCGGAGCATACTATGAATAAGCAAGTTTGAAATATGAAGTATCCGGTCCTCTTCTTCTCCTCCCTTCCCTTCCTCCCTTCCCCCAAGAAAAATTTTTCCATTAGTCCATTATTACAGTACAATGGAATGTTCAATTTCACACTCTGTGTGACATTCCATGCCAACTAGAATAGTTAATGCAACTTTACATTTATGACTCTGCTTGGGTGTGAATTATTGTGTTTATGAAAATCTCCATATTAATGTCTGATTGTAAATCATTCTGCCGGCTCCCTTTATTAATAGCTCAATTCCCACTACTCACTGCCGCAAGCCATTCAAATTACTGCCACTGTAGTGGAGAGGGGCAGCTTCTCATGGGTTTGTTATCTACATCTAACCATCCCGGGCTTTGCTCTTAAGCCTCCATTCTGTGTTACTTCTGACTGTGATTCTCCATTGGTGAGTTTGGGCAGCTTCCCTGACAGGTTGCCTCTCTTACTCTCTGTTTCTACATTTGTTAATCTTTAGAAACACCCAGTGGAAGGTGATTGGGCATGGATTCTGCATTCAGAATGATTTGGGTTCAAATCCTCATGTAGTAAGTTCCGAAACCTCTGAGTTTCAGTTGCCTCACAGACAGTGGTAACCTATAGATTTAGGGTGATTAAATGTAACCAGGTATTGTATACACCCCTAATCCAGTACTTTTAGAGGCTGGTTGGAGTCTAGTTTGGGGATTTAGCAACTTACTGGGATACTGTCTCAAAATAAAGAATAAAAATAAGAGGCTGGGGATGTAGCTCAGTGTGAGGGCTATGAGTTCAATACTCAGTCCTACAGAGAGAGGGAGGGAGGGAGGGAAAGAGAGAGGGCTGGAGGGAAGGAAGCAAGGTAATGTGATGTAACACTGTTAGGACAGTTCTTGCCACACAGGTAGCCCTAGGTGGTCTTTGTGCTATGGTAATTATACTAAAAATAGCAGTTACAGTAACTATACTGGATAGGGCAGGAGGAATTTGGGCCAGCGGTTGGAAGGTCTTGGACTCTTGCTCCCATAAGCTGCGTAGATGGTTATGGGAAGTCACTTCACATCTCTGACCCCTCACTTTTCCCCCTTGTAAAGTGAGGGAGGAGCCCCTCATAAGGCTCTTGACCAGGGCAAACATCAGTGTTCCAAGCACAGAACAGAGAGCCCGCCCCGGACGGCCCCTCCATCCCTTTGTCCTGTCTCTCCTCTTCCAGCCCTTCTCCTCCGTCAGACACAGCCCAGCACGGAATGCAGCTCCCGGAGCCCTCAGGCAGGGGCCAGGCATGGCTTTTCCAGGCCTCCCAGCTCAGCAGCCCTCAGGCCTCCTGCCCCAGCCCCCTCTCTGGCAGGAGGGGAAATATGAAATCCCAGCAGGCAGGGAGGTTTTTTATGCTTCTGTAAATCATTAAAGTGGCCAATATTTTCCTCTGCTGCACTTCCCTCACCTCACAATATTTTTTTCCCCTGCAGTGAAATCCATACCCCCAGCCTGGAAATGTGGGCACTTTATAGAAAATCTTTAGCTTGTACCAGCACAAATGGATGGGTCTTATTTCCTGTCTGCAGTTCATGGCATTGCAAAGACATTGCCAAAAACTATCAACTGAGACATAAAAGCAAAAAATGGATGGGGATGAATGCGCTCACGTTCACGTATACATCTGCAAATATGATCCGGTCTGTGTTTGAAGGGGAAGTTCACACAGTGGCCTCCTAGCTGCCAGCCCAGATCAGCACCCCTGTGCATGGAGGTGTGAGCGTGGGCAAGGGCCGAGCTACCGAATTTCAAGGACCAGGAAGGCTCAAATCCCTGGAATCCTTCCCTGACCCTTGCGCCCTAAGGCTGGAAAGGGCACAACTGAAGGACTAGTTTTTGTGTGATTTTAAAAAGCAAAAAGGAAAACCACATTCAACCCTTTGGAATTCTTTCAGCGATGCGGCATTTCCTAATTCCACTTGGCTACATGGCTTAAAAGGGACAACTTTTTGCTCCACACACTGTCATATGGAATATTATGAAGGCACGGGTTGTGGAGCTGGGGACTCCAGGGTGTTGCCGGGAATCCCTTTGCAGCCTTCTTTCTGCTCTATCCCATCCCCTTCTAGAGAAGTGGCCCCTTGAGCTAGACTTTCTCCTGATCACAGGGCTCCCAGTCGGTGTGAGAGGAGGCCCTGGTGGAGAAGCCGCGGAGACTGGGGCTGTAGCGTTCACCTGGGTCCTCCTCGCCCTGTCTCGGACTCAGACGACACTGGGCTACATGCCCATTTATTTGTTTCCTGTGTGGCCTTATCTGCACCCCATTTCCTTGTATTTAGAAAGAGGGCTGCTGGCGGGGGGGAGGCATCTGACGGAGAAAAAGCCCTTTTCCTCTCCTCCCCTCCCCTCTTCCCCTCCCTTCCCCTCTCCTCCCTTTTCTCTCTTCCCTCCTTCCTTCCTTCTTCCCTCCTACTCTGCGCATTCCTCCTTCCTATTTTTCTTTTCTCCTTTCCTCCCTTCTATCATCCCTCTCTTCTGTTCTTTTTCATTACTTGACGCTTTGAACCCAAACAGCCTGAATCGCTCACTGGAGGAAGCTGGTCCTTCCCTGCTTCTCTCCCTCCCCAAGCACACCCTACTCTTACGTCCTGGGCAAGTCAGTTGGCCCTTGGGTTACTCTCGGTGACCAGTCCAGGTACCCTCATTTGGCCACACTGAGTATGCTCTCCCCTGGGACAGGCCTGTGCTCAGAGCCAGCACTCTACCCAGCCTGCAGCCTTCTGTTGTGTCAGGGCTCCTCCCGTTGGGTGGCGGGCCTCCAGGCTGTAATCAGAGCTGCCCACTGCCTCCTCTGACATAGTTACGAATTTCCCAGAGCAGGACTCCTAAGTACAAATGACTCCTGCAATGGGCAAGTCCAGAGCCAGTGCTTCCAGGGCCAGTGAGGTTCCCTCTGTGGAAAGAGGTACAGCCCCCCAAGGGCAGGATGGCACCTCCTCTTCACTGCTAACCTCCACCATCAATCATCACCCTGGGAATCTCCGCCTTGGAAGGGCCCTGTTGTCTCCTCCACTCCCCACCCTGACTCTGGTAATGGTGTCGCTCCTGGCCCATCACATCCCCCTTCTCTGGACAGTGTGGATTCTCTGAAGGTGAGGGGACAATGGCTATTTGCTTTTTGTGCCTCCTTAGATGTTCTGTTTGTCGAGTGAATTGTTTGCTTCCTGGCTCGGAGCTGGTAGCTGACACGGCTCACCCGTGCTAATTAGCTAAGCCAGCTGGTGCATTGGTGAGGTTTTTCTGTGCTCCTTAGTGTGTGTTTCTTTTTTTAAACATGATCAATACCAGCTCTGGCTGGGCTCTCTTGCACATTCCCTATTGTTCTCCTGTTTGCATTGTGCCTGAGTCCTAGTCAAGGACTCAGGGAGCCTCGGAAGACACACTTTTCCGGAGCCTGGCGCTATGCCTGGAGCTCCAGAGACCGCACAACAGATGCAGCACGACCTCTCTGGCCCAAGCCTGCCGCCTGCAGTGATTTCCAGTAGCTGTGGACAGTGCCACAGAAACCTCCTTGGGCATCAGACAGTTGAGTAAAAATAAGAACTTGCTGTGTGACTCCTGAGAAAACTGCTTTCCTTCTCTGGGCTTCTGTTTTCTCGTTTGTAAAAGAAGGTGTTAATTACCAGTTTTGCAGTGGCCTGTGCCCTGATTCCAAAAGTTCTCAAAGCAGTTTCTTGAAATTGGGATCTTCTTGGGAGGAGAGTCATGAAGAAAATACATTTATAACTAGGACCTCAGTTGCTCCTGCCACAGTGCTAAGATGGACCGTGCACACGTTTGGCAGGTGGACTCAGAAGAGGCCATGCCCAGGCAGTGACAGGCTGAGGGACGCCAGGCCCCACCTCCCCAGCATCTTGGCCCCTCAAGTCCACTGTGATTCTTTCTCCTGTCATCCAACTGTAGTGATTGCTACTCACCGCGCAGGCTGCAAAGAAAATGACTCAGCTAGTTCAAATAAGGTTTTATTGACAACTCATTCCAGGGGTTAGATTTTTCCTGCTGCTTTCTTTGGATTAACAGTCTCTTCTGAAAATTTTGAATGGACCGTGCATGTGCTAGAGAGATTTTCTTATTCTTCTCCAAACTAATACATTTTTTTTCTGCTCTCACAAAGTGGTAATAAAAATATCCCACTTTTATTGAAAACAGTATGTGCCAGATACTCTAACCAGGCACATAACTGAAGTATTTTATTAATCCTTGCGAGGTACATCTGCTACCCCATCTGACAGAGGCCCGGAGAGGATAAAGGCCTTGCCCAAGGCCACCAGGTAGAAAGTAGGGGGATTAGGAGCACTTTCTGCCCTTACACCTTTTCTTCTGGATCCCCTCTTGATTCTCCTGTTTCAATGTTTAGCAATCCAAGTGGTGACATTTCACCACTTCTGATGACAACATGAAAGAGGAGAGAGGACTCCAGGCTCAGGGCCAAGTCCAGGCTTCCAGCCCTGACCCCATGGGCTCCTGGAAAGTAAATAAATAAACTCTCCAAGTTTCTTGTACCCAACTTCACAAAATTACCGTGGAGGATAAGATAGTGTTGATGAAAATGCTTTGCAAACCATAAAGCACCTTAGGGACATTTACTATCATGGTTTGTTTTGACACTGGCCAAGAAAGAGAACCAAGTCTTCTCTGTGCAAAGGAAGTGTGCCCTCCTCCCATGCAATGCCTACCTCACCCCAGTCAGCCCTGCTGCCGCCCCTGTGGAGTCCCCAGCACTGGCCTCTACAGCAATCTCCAGCTCCCTGACTCCGGAGCCTCCCTCTAGACACAGAGGAGCTGGAATGGCTGAGTCAGCTGCATTTTCTCCTGTCTCAGGGCTCCCTCAAATTGGCTGCATGGTATGGCAGGTCTGCTTGCCATCCAGCAAGTCCCCTGGGGTGTCCGTATTAATCACATTCCCTCCCGCTCCCCTCTCTGGCCAGCTCTGAGGTAGGTGCACAGAGCTCTGTGTGTGTAGATGTGGGAGAGACTGTCTGTCCCCTGGGAGCAGCCAGTGACTAAGTTCCCTCACAATAAAGAGAGTTGCTTCTTTCCTGGTAACCGTAACCTATCCCTCTTTTCCCAAGCAAATACCGACCTCCATCCACCCCCATGATGCATCTCTATGACTGGGAGAAATCAGCTCTTTTAGTTCTTCCCACCACAGAACAGGCCTGAGAGCTGCCCCATATCAGCCTGCCAGGCTTCTCTCCTATTCAGAACATCCTCCTGTAGTTATTTGCAGCTCCTGGACCCCCCACACAATTTAGGTGGCCTTCAGAGCCCAGGAAGCATCTTGGGGTGCTGATCCTCTCACTTTGGGCTGGGGCCCACAGAGCCTTGCCAGTGTCTCCACCCCACAAAGTTCCCTCTGCCTGAGGGGTGTGAGGATGTCCCCTCCGGGAGGCCCAGAGTGGCTCTGCCACGGCACATTTCTTTGAAGCCTTACAGGAAATCATGTGAATTTTATGTTCCTTTTCATTTCCGGATGACATGTGCGTTTGTTTTCATCTAAGCATGTTTTAACCCCAAATCTTCAAGCTAAATTGATGCCCCAGGAAGATAGACTCGTTTATTCAGTTCCTTTATACCACCTAAGTTGCCAGGATCTCCCCCCGGGGTACAAGTGGTCTACTTAGAGAAGCATATGCAGTAAGAACAACAGAGAAAGCCCCAGTCCCCCACCTTTTCCTCCGCACTGGTTTCTGCAAGAGAGAGCCTGTCTGTCTGCTTCCTGTGCACACAGGTCTTATGTACTTGACCCTAGGAGAATGGGGAGGAACAAAGAGCTGGGGAAGCCAGCAAAGTTACATGGATCCATACAGTCTCTGGAGGCTCCAAAATGTTTGTGGAGTAAATTCTTTTCCCTTCCTGCCCACAGTTCAGCATTATTATTAATAGTGATATCCTAACCAGAGAGAGAGACCTTTCCTCAGTCCCTAACCTTTTCCAAAGGGCTATTAAGATAATAGCCTCGTTGTCATTAATAACTGCCTGCATATTGGTTTTTTACAAGGCTGGAGTAAAAGGCAGCTCCTTTATAAAGTAAGAAGTTCTTAGCAGTTACGACCCTGAGAAATTTGAGGGAGACGAACAATAATGCTTTCTCCAATTCCCCTGGTCCCAAGGGGAAGGTCAGTTTAGAAAAAACTGACATTGCTATTGAGCAGACCAAAGAAAAGTCTAGGGATATCAGGAAACAAAAGTGGGAGAATTGATTTGGCTGAGAAGAAGATCTTTGGACAATCAAGGGATTCAGTCTGGATTGCACTAGTAGGAGAAAGTCCCCAGAGGCCAGGCAACCCTACTTAGAACAATGTAGGGACAACCAACTCCTTGCCCAGAGGCAGGGAGCCAGGCAGGCCAGGTAGTCCTGGAGCTACCATCTTCCTTCCACGCTGGCTGTGAGCTCCTCTAGGTGAGATAAATGATGGGACACAAAGGCACAACCTGATATAATATTCGCAGTATTTCTTAGACAGACAAGGGAAACATTCAGCTCTGTGATTTCAGTTGATACAACAAAGCCAAACCTTTATCACACAAGCATAGAGGAAGGGAGCTGTAAACATCTCCGAGAGCTCTGCAGACAGCCCCATACGGAGACACATTTCAGTGGGGTGGCACGGGTGGGGAGGGAAGATGAAGCTTGCCAAGCCACAGCGCTCTGATTTGCAGGGAGCAGAGCGTGGATATTTCAAATCACTTCCTTTTCGTTAGTACCTAATCTCCCAGCTGTTCTCCGAGCTCTGGTTCAAATACTGGGAAACAGTGGGCCTCAAATGTAAAAGCCACAGGGCTCCTGTAAATTATGTTGTCTTGTTACATTGGAGTGTCATGTCAACCCAGGCTCCTGTTCAGTTTCCAGGAGAAGGAAATTTTGTCTGATGAATATAAAGGAAAATGAGTCATTTTTTAAAAAAATCAAGGCCACTTAAAATTAAACATAGCTTGGAGTCTGGTATTATTTGAAAACTCAGAAGTGCTTAAGGCAGATTGTCACAGTTACTGTCCCTGCTCCCTCCTACATCTCTCCAGGCTGCAGGGTCCGAAATGACCAGGAGGCATTGGGCATCGGAGAAGTGGAACCAACATCTAGCACCAGTCTCAGTGGAATTTGGTTCTGTTCCCATTAACCAAATGCAGTGCCTTGGACGGTCACAGACACTGTTCCCATAAATTAACTCATTTAGCCCTGTGGAGCATAGGGGTTAGCCCCTTTGTCCCCACTGTAGAAACTGCGGTTTCTACAGAAAGATGTGAAAAAACTTGCTCAATTCCAAATGAAAAAGCTAAGTAGCCAGCACTTATGTGAATGAAGGTTTTCATGTCAAAGCTTGGACTCTTTCTGTTCTACCAGAAAGTCTCATTCCATATTCATATATTCATTCATTCCTTTATTTATACACTCAGCAAACATGCATTGGGTATCTACTGTGTGCCAGGCACTGGGGACACAGGGATGACTTAGACATGGTCCCTGCACTCAACGATTGCAGAATCTAGTGGAACTCATAGTCTAGTCTTGAAATATTTATTCACCAAATATTTAACATTTAGTAGAGCAAACAGCTGGCCCAATGGAGCTCAGATCTTAAGCAGTTGTTTTCCTGGCCCGTAGTTTGTTACTGCTATTGTTTTATGAGTGAGCAGCATGCCCATTACCCATGCTCAACAAGCAGGGAAAATCAAGGTGCATACCTGCAAGGCCTCGTGCTGATTCATTAAGTTCAGATTCATTAAGTTCAAACACCATTCCTTTTGGAAGCTCTGCAGGTGAACCATCCGATTGCCAACTGAAACCCAGAGCCAAGAGACACATTCCTTGAGGGCGAAAGAATAATTTGGCTTTTCTGGTTTTTATTTTTTATTTGGGGCTTGGGAAATTAATAAAGAGGATTTACTCCCATGATTTAGGATTTCTTGGATTACCATATTAAAAACATTCTCCGACTAGACATCAGCTGGCAAATGTCACACATTTGCCAGTGGTTGAAAATTACTTGTTTAAATTTATTGACTTGGCTGGGTATTCATCTCAGCTCCTGCCCTGTCCCATGATTCCCTGTAAAACACCTTCTAAAAGTCCTCCTCCAGTGCCTCCCATTGCTTTGGAAAATCTCATAAACCATTCCTTTGGCATTTTCCTCTTGTCTCCCTTGTCTACCCCCATGGTGCCCGAGCTTGGCCCCAGCCCTGGCATCTGCCCCACATCCATTTGCCTCTCTTTTTCATCCCTCTTCGGCCACGGCTGCGTGGTGAGGATATTCCAGGAGTAACCCGTCTCTACTCAGCCCTGACTCCGCGAACTGCTGGGCCCAGCTTAGCTTGGCAACAGGGGAGGCCAAAATACTGTGATGATAAATATGAAAGGAAAAGAAAGAAATAGAGATGAGGATAGGCAAAAAAATATTGTCCTCCCCCCATACATACATTTTCAATGCTAATGATCACTTAGCACAAAAGAGAGAATTTCCTTAAAAAAAATACAGTTCAGGGAGTATAAGTCCATTACTGTGTCCAGCTATTTTGTAGACAATAAGAGCAGAGCTCCCAAAGGATACGTACTTCTCCCCAAAACACCCCGATCCACAGAGCCATCATCAGGAAACAAACCCAAAGCAAACACGAGAAGCCCTAGTATCTGTGTCCGGCCCCTTCCTGAACACGTACCTCCAGATGGCTGGGGATGCCAGCTCCCTTTCCACGCCACTCAGCTGAATACCAAGACATGTGTTGTGGTAGAACCAAGCTGCACACAATTTCCATGGTGGGTCAGGCCTGCAGTGCAGCCAGGCGGCCGACAGAATGTCAGCCAGCCAACCAGGGGGTCATTAGCATTCAGGAAATATGACAAGCCTCAGCTCCCTGTCCACTGCCATGCACCATGCATCACAGTACATGACAGGAGTGGCCCTGGCTGGAGAAGGGAAGCAAAGCAGGCCATCCCTGCAGCTGCAGGTTAATAGTGGACGAATTACACACTTGGAAAACAGTTTTCCCCTCGATGCATTATCTGGACCATTTCAAAGCCCTTTGTCTGGGCTAAGCTGGCTGTGGGTGATGTTTGCAGGCTGGGGACTTGCAGAAAAGATGTATTTTCTGACAGAGAGAAGGTCACCCGGGTAGAGGCCATTACAGTGTGTTGCGGTCGGGTTGGAATTTCCCGGATCCCGATCGATGTGGTCTCAGGGCATTACTCAAGCACTGGGATTAGAACGCTGGCCAAGAAAATGCTCTTCAAATTGGTGGACAAGTCACACGCCATGGGAAAGCCATTCTGTCATTTACCATCACCCCACCCCGTCCCACCAGTGCTTCAAGTAGGCCCCCAGGGGTCACATGAAGCCTGAAAAGGGAGCTGAACAGATTGAGAGGTGGAGGGGAGGAGTGGGCTGGGCGGAGAGCTGAGCCTGGGGAGTCCTGGTGAAGGACTCAGTTCTAGCTCCAGTTCTGCCCTAGGGTCACTGAATGACCTCGGGTCCTCTGCATCTCTGCTTGTACGTCTATAAAGTGGGACTAGGGGTGCTCACCGATATATATATATATATATATATATATATATATATATATCTTTGGTCATTAGACACTACAGACACAAGGCCTCTTTGAAAACTTAGAAGTGGTATTATCTTCAGAAAAGAGTATCTCTTCTTCATCAGATGTGTGTGGGCAGTCTACAGCCGGCCATACCCCTGAATGCATCCAATCTCGTCTGATCTCGGAAGCTAAGCAGGGTCGGGCCTGGTTAGTACTTGGATGGGAGATGTATGTGGGCAGTTTTGTTGAGTCCTCCTAGCCAGCTCACCAATAATATGAGTAAAAAGGATGCTCTACTAGCTCAGAACTACGAGTGTTGCTTCCTGGTGGTCATTCCTAGGCTCTAGACCAGTCTTGATATATGGTCCTCTTTGCCCAGGCCATTTGCTCTAAAATCTGTGTTGCAAACGCAAACTAACCCTACAATCTAGCCCCAATGTTGGGCGGTAGTGTAGTCTGGCTAACTGAACTCCGACTTCTTGTTTCCAAAATGCTGCAACCTGTGCTTTTAATCGAATGGATACAATGAAAGGCACCTACCTGTCCTGAGAGATCTGTAACCACCTGGGTCATCAGACAGAAGCCCAGGAGGCAAACTGGGGAACAGTAAGTGCTGGACTCTGTCTGAAGTTTCTGCCCATAGGGCACAGGTGGGCAGGCTCTCTGTACTGCTGTGTAACAGGCCCCTGCCCTCTGAGTCTCACTTCTGCACTTGGGAAGGAAGACCACCCACTGGACCTTGATCCCCAAAATCCAAAAAGATCGCACCCACTAACAGCACTTGGGCTATGGTCAGCACGCAGTGGGTGCTCCCCGGAAAATGAAAATATGTTTCAGTGGCAGAGGAGGCCCCCAGGGAGCCGGTCTGAGAAGCCTCTGCTTTGCCTGAGCAAAACCAGCATTTACATCAAAATACCCTGTTTCTTTTGTCTGATCAGTGTTGTCTTGGTGGCTTCTGTGCCCCTCGCTGGAAAATAAATAAATAAACAGCAGATGAGGTGAGAGGTTAGAGAAGGGATGTGGCAAAAGACAAAGAAAGAAAGAGAGGGAGATTGATTTCTGGGTAGAATTTATATCTTTTTGGCTTTTTCAAAGGTAAATGAATAGATTGTTGTTGTTTTTCAGCCTGCCGCTGAGCGTGTGCAAGCGCCTCTGTTATGTATAGACCCTTTTAAAGGCTCCTGGAAGCAATCCCTAGCATTTTCTATAGGTGCAGACAGATAATTGAATGCTTTCAAAGACCACTGTGAGGCAGGGAAAGTTCAATTTTGCTGTGTGCTGGTGCCGGCATGGACTGCGCGCGCTGTGTGTGTTTTCTTGAGGAAGCCGAATTTCTTTTTTGCTTTTCTTTCTACTCCTGCCCCTTCACCCCTCGTCCCCCCTGCCCATCTCTGATGAAGCACTTAGACAGAGGACAAGAAACAATAAATAATCACCCCAAAGTCACACCAAATAAACACAGCCGAAGCTCCCAGCCACTTCTCTGGCTGAGAATGAAAAGCGCTGCCTCTTTGCTCGGGGGCTAGCGAACGGGCTTTCTGCTCAGCTATTATTAGAGCCTGATGTGGCAGAAGCCCGGGCAGCTCTGGGCGGTGGGGGGTTCTTGTTTTAATTTGTTGCCTGCACAGGCAGAACAAGTGACATGGGGAGAGAGGATGGGGGATTTCCTCCTGCTGCTATTTCTCTACAGGACACCTCTCTCTCATAGTCTCTCAGTCTCATTCTCTCTCTCTCTCTCTCTCTCTCTCTCTCTCTCTCTGTCTGTCTGTCTCTCTCTCATTGGCCTGGAAAAGGGATGTCTGTGCATGCACACTTTTGTGTGTTTGTATGTGTTCATGGAATCATGCAGGGGCCAAGGCCTGGGTGTTCCCCCTGGGTCGGACAAGAAAATGCTGCATCCAGCCAGTAAGGGATTCCTTTTAGGGTGTCAAGGAGAAATACACAGAGGTTTGAGATAAGGAGACAAGGAAAATCCACCCCTCTAGAGGCATGGCAAATTCAACTATCACTGACCATTAATCTGTGCAAATGATACCTAGTTACCTCTCACAACTACCCTTTCAAATATTGCCTTCTGTGTTCCATAGCTAAAGAAACTGAGGCTCAAAGATATGGTGTGAATTACCTGTAATTCCAGTGCAATTTCTGCTCTATTAGGCTTGTCTGGCTGGGGTGTGGGTTAGAGTATAGCGTGTCTTAAGGTTTCAGATCTAAGCACTGGGAAGATTCAGCAGGGTTCTTCCATGTGGAGGGCAGAGGCAGGGCAGCAGATACAGAGTCCATTCTGCAGGCTTTGGAAAGGGAGGCCCCGTCATTCCCATGCATCACAATTTGCCTCCAATATACTGAACTATGGAACACAAAAGGGCAGAGTATGGGGCACAAAAGGGCTGAGCACCAACAGGGGACTAAAAGCTGTAGCAATGGGTTCTCCTGTCCTCACGCTGTAAGTCAGAGGATGTAACCTCTCTGCTCAAGTCGCCAGCTAGTAAGTGTCCAGGCTAGGGTTCTAACCCAGCTTTTGCAATCTAAGTCATTTTATTTCTTCAGGGCTGTGCACAGTGCCACTGACTCTACCTGACTTTAGGGCTCACCATGTCGTGTCACGGGCCGTGCTCCTCTCATTGCTGTTCTTAATCAGACAGAGAGGGCACTTTCCAAGCTGAATGTCTGTCTTCTGGGGGGACACATCACAACCCCCAACAAAGGCTTTTTTTTTTTTTACTAGTTTTGCTGTAGTCTATCTTGTTTCCTCTCTTGGAATTTAAACTCCCTGTCTTGGTTACTTTTTACTAGTTGCTGAGACAAAATACCTGATACTCAAAGTTGGGAAAGGAAAGGTTTATTTCTTACAGTTTTTGGAGGTTTCAGTCCATACTCAGTTGGCTCCAAGGCAGGGTGGCATGGCGGGGCCGCAGTTCATGGCGGCTGCAAACAGCAAGGTAGAAACTGTCAAGAGAAAGTGAGACACCTTCCTGCCATTACATTATATCCTGGCTCCTCCCCTAGGTGGGGGTAGCACTGACACCATCAATCCAAGCCCTAGACAATGAACCCATCACAGATGCACAATGCAAACTCATGAGGCCTGGGGGCCACCGACATAAACCATGACTCTGCCCCAAAAGAAGTTTCAGTTATTTTTGACCCTTCACCTTACCAAAGGGTTCTAGTCACCACTTACTGATATTCAAATATGCCACTTGCCATCCGCATAGTATTACTATGTGACTGAAATTATATATAATTATACAGATAATCCAGAACATAGCAGACAATGAATAAATATGAGCTAGCTTGACTTTTAATATTGCTATCTTCTTTCTAAGAATCATAGATTTTAGAATGAAAAGAACCTTCCAAGTCACTTTGTTGGCCTAACATCCTCTCTTTAGATAATAGAGGATCTATAATTAGAAGATCTGAATGTGAACCCTAGATTCACCACTTACTATTAGTATCAATTACTTTTAAAAATGTGCTTGACCTAAGTCTCATTTTGTTCAAATGTTAAAAAAAAACGTGGTGACAATAACAAATATCTGCCTGTCTCATGAACCATTGCAGGCATCAGATGAAAGGAGGCAATGCAGGGGTAAGATGGAATTTTATATGAATGGTATTTAGTCAGTACCAAAGACAAATGAGACTCAAGCTGGTCAAGTAGTTACCCGAGAGGAAGCTCCTCACCTTCCAAGATGGTGTCATCTGTTAGACAGCCTGCAGTTAAGTTTCCACCATGGTGCTATTGTGGTCACGATGGAAGAACCAGGAGCTGTTTTTAAGCAAATGAAGACTTGGATCCAAGCAAAAAAAAAAAAAAAAAAAAAAAAGTGGGAAATAAAAACCAGAGTGAAGAATCATGGTACAGTAAAGCAAACAGAAGACCTGGGAAACTCAACAAACCATGAACAAAATCCCAGCATAACAGGAAGAAGCCGGAGTTATCGTGCTTAGCCAGGCACAAGAGCAGGCACAATAAAGTCACAGGATTAGTAGAAAACACTGTTTATCAGATTCTGACTCCACCTATATTGAGAGAGGAACCGTTCATTTTCCAAAGTTCCTCATGGTGGGTACTTGTGGTTCCTTCTCTAACCATCATGCCTTAACGGGCACTGCCCATTGGCTGGTACAGCCAGTTAATATGCAGAGCCTGTCTCCCTAGCCTTTGCTGGTAGAGCTAAAGACAGACAACCGGCTCAGTTTGGGCCAAACAGATTTCTGAGAGTTCAAATTTTGCAGCCAAGACATTTTAGATCAAGGAGCTGCTGGTGATTCTCTTGCACTCTGTGACTGCACGGAGGGACCCAGTCTGCAGTGGGACTGAAGAGCAGAGCTAAGTCTCAGAGCAGACAGACAGACGTGATGCAGAATCAGGCGGGGCCACCAAGATCCCGCTGCTTGTTGTTCCTGAGACATCACCGTGGTCCTGACTTTGCATTCCTTTTCTTATAATTAATTGCCATCTGCTTAAGCTAGTTCCAGTTATGCTCTGTCATTTTTAATCAAGGCTGACCTTAACTTCTGTAAACTAGCTCAAGATATCCCCAGTGGTCCTCTTCATGGGGTTGTAATATAAGATCTTGGAAGCTAGGAGTGAACTGCTGGGCAATTTATGATTTATCCTAATCGGTCACTTCCCATTCCTGGCCAGCCCTTGTCTCTGGACCCAGGTTTGGCACTTGACATCCTGTGTCCCTACATAGCTTTCCCGTTTCACCCGACTCGGTTCTAGTGGTTCAATCTGTCAATTCCCATGTAAATCAGGCACATTGGAATTCACAAAACACACCTGACTTTGTTTTCAGGGAAATGAGCTCAAATAAAGTAAGAGATGATTTTTATGCCAGTGGTGGCAAACCTAGGCACACGTGCTACAGTGGGCTGTTTGGTATCACTGAGATCTCTAAACGGTTAACCATTTGCTTTTCCTTGGGAAAGTCCCTGAATTCAGACCTCTCAGTGGCACTGAGGTTCTTAAATGTGACCCCCCCTTTGCTTCTGTCCTGTGATAGCCCCTACACTGACGTGTCTTCAGAAGCTCTCTCTCTGCTCCTTGCTCTCTCACTCTAATGACACTTGGTCTTGGGAAGCAATGAATCTCTTGCTCGCTGAGAGTCAATATATTTTTAATGGTACGATTTTTCTCTGATGGGTATTGAGTAAAGGGGTGTACTAAGTTTAAAATTATAGGAGGGTAAGTCCTCATATAGTTAGAAAATATATGTATGTTATGTAAATTATTTTTGTGATGTAAAACATAGAAAAATGCCAAATTTAGTAATTTTGCCTAGTTTGCCATACATAGAACATACTAGAATACCCTGAGGCAGACTCCAAAAGTTTAGAGCCGCTCATTCTGCATCTTCTTTAGCATTATCAAGGAAGTCTAACTTACATATAGTAAAATGCATAAGTGGTACATGGATATCCCAGCGAATTTTCCCATATGTGTATATACTTATAGAGCCAGCCACCTTCCAGCTCAGGGCTTAGAGCATTTCTTACACCCAAAAGGCTTCCGTGTGTCTCCTCCCAGTCAACAGCCACCATCACCATCACGCCTCAATGATAACCAGTTTTTTTGATTTCCAATTACCACCAATAATTTGGAACTCACATCTTGGACTTCATGCAAATATAATCCTACAATAATCTTTTTGTGTTTGACTTCGTATGATATTATTTCTGTACAATGCATCCATTTGTGCGAATGATACTTTACTTTGTCTCATTACTACATGGCAACAGAATATATATATGATATGGTTTATTTGGGCATTTTGTGGTTGATGGACATCTGAGTTACTTTTAATTTGAGCCTATTAAAAATAGTTGCCGCGAACATCTTTATATAGATCTTCGATACACATAAGCACTCGTGTCTGCCTGCTATATACCATGTGTGTCGTACAGCACGTACATGGTGGGCTTACTGCACGTGGCCAAATAGCTTTCAAGGAGCTTGTGTTCACCCCACAATGTGAAACGTTTAGCTCATCAATCACTAAGCACCTGCTATGTGCCAGGTGCCCCACCGTGCTAGAAACACTGTGTTGTAGTCATGGGTTACAAGGAGAACAATTATATACAGAATGCAGAATTTATAGTATTATTTTATGATGGTGACCCAGAATTAAATATAAGAAAGTGCAGGAAATCTGTCCACAACAGTAAAGACTGAGAAAATCCAGTCAAAGGTTTAGATTCCATAGCAATATCCTCAAATTAAGAACCAAGGTCTACCTTGAAAAGTACCACAACCATCCTCAGTGACAATGAGTCCAGCCGAAAACTTAGGACCCATGACAATGACTCATGCAAGTCTGTTTTACAGATCTGCACTGGGAAGGCCTAGAGGTCAGCAGTGGAATCTAGAAAGTCTATGCCAGTGGGGTGAAGGGTCTCTGCCAATAGATTGAGGATTCTACACTGGAGCCAAGAAGTGATGTTCAAGTTAAGGACCAGGGCTGCCCTGAAGAGCACCACAGACATCCTCAGTGACACTGAGGTCCTGAGCTCCTCTGACAATGAGAACAGTTGAGTACATGTCAGGAAGCCAGCGTGACAAGCTTTTCCTGGAGATTAAACTGCACACATCTTCCCCTCCAGAGCCAGGAAGTGATGCTCGATGTAAGGACCAGAGCTCTTCCAAAGTGAACCACAGACATCCTCAGTGATAAGGTCCTGAGCTCCTTCGATACTAATGACCAAATTCCTATTGGGGAAGCTAGCCATGATGAGCTCCTTCAGGAGAACCAACAGCTCCAAACAATGATGCTTAGGAGAACCTTAATGCCCCACCCTTCTTCTCTACATCTCTATGTTGGTGACTTTCCTCGGGTGGGCCATCCTCAGTCGGCACCATACTGGTGTTAAGTTGACTCCCAATTTTCAATCTATAACATATTGATAAGACTTACCAGTGCTGCTTGCCTGATTATGCAATATGGGAAGTGCTAGATCAGAGACGTGTCTGATACGGGAGCCTTTAGGGCTCTGGGCTGGCTTTCCAACTTCAGACATCCTGCAAAGGCTTTGCCGAATGAGGAAGGGATGGAATCTGAGACAGAAGGCCCAGACTCCTCCCACCTCTGCCAGGATGGACCCTGCAGGCCCTTCCCCAGTCAGGAGCCTTCCTAATGCAGCAGCCGGGCCCAGGCCAGGCTGGCAGGAGTGAACAAACGGCTGCCAGCATGAGCAATGATTTAAAGGACATGGTTGAGACGTTGGTGAGATGAATACCAGTGACTCCGATGCCATCCTGGAAACGATTCATCAGGGTGGCTTGGGAAAGAGGAGCATAAATCTCCAGCCAGGGAGGCCGTGCAGGGCCCCAAGAAGAGGAACAGGACATGATGGCAGCTTCCAGGGACGCCTCTGTGAAAAGTGTCAGCCTGGAGGAAGCCCAGAAGTGAGTTCTGTAGTGAGGTGTGGTCCTGTTTGATCCCCACTCTGCACCCCTAAGACACTCTTCTCAAAAGGGCTTCTGCTTTACCCTCTCTCCAGCCTGAATCTTGTCACACCTGGACTTTGGCTCCAGTGATTTACTTTATTTTTTAATGACGGGGGATGCTTTAGGAGTGAACTCCTCCCTCGGACTCCTCCCTCTTTGAACGTCTGGTGCACTACCCTTCTCCAGCAACCTGAGGCTCAGAGAGACGGGCACCTGGAACATCAAGGGGAACAGATCACAGAGCGGGGACCACAGATGCCTGGGTGAATGAGTGATTTTTATGAGTGAAATTTGCTCACAAGCTTCTTTAATAATGTTATTCATCTTTCTGTCAAAGTCGTCACATTAATGTAGCGGGGAGAGATTTAGAGCAGATGAATTAAGACTTAAATACACAAAATGACTTGGGGAATATTTAAGCACAATACATTTTATTTTGCTGCGGCATCCTTTGTCACGGGTGTTGCTCCTGCCTCTTGCCAAGCTCAGGCAGCCCAGGAATCAACAAGTCTCTCCATCCTCCTCCTGAGTCTTCGTGTATCCCTAGCTCTGTGCACCGAGTATATGTGAATTCATAGTCTCTGCAGAGAGCTCAGAAGTAGCCTGAGGGTCAGAAGGCCCAGGTGTCTGTTCTGTCATAAACAGGCCAGTTTCCCTTTGGGGACCTCAGTTTACTCACTGGGGGAAAAAAAGGTGAATTTCTCTCTGAATATTAAAGGCTGAAGAGACTCCTTCCTCAGAGTCACCTTCCCTCCTTCCCTAGAGAGGTAAAGGGAAACCCTCCCATGCCAAGTTCTACCTGCCTCCAGTTTCTCCCTAACAGTTCAGGCTGTCAACTCTTACATATTCGTAGTTGTGTACTATTTCCTTTTAAATGAAATCATTTTGGCTTTTAAAAAAACACCAAATGTTCTTTCCTTGCCTTCCTGCCTTCTCTCCGTCTCTCACAGTAGCTTACACAGGGGAAGACTGGAGAATTCCTCCAAAAGAGTTCCTGTTTCCCACTGAAGGCATGGGTCTGGAGCGTGGGCCAAAGGTGCGTGTCAAACAAGGTGCTTAGGAGGTGAGTGCGCTCTGGGTCTCATCCTAGGAGGCCAGAGTGTTTATAATCGCACCCCATGGTTCCTAGTCCAGAAAAAAAGAATAGGGGACAGCAGAGCCGCCCATTTCTGGAGCTCTTCAGTGCCCACTCCAGAGAGACATTGCAGGTTACACACTTCAATTTGGATAGCCTCCTGAGACAGCAAGGCGACTCAGTCTCTCTTGTTTGCCTTAAGTGGGGAGCTCTGACTTTTACAAAGCCCATTCTCCAATATTGCCCTCCAGAGGACCTGAGGCCAGGCTCCAGGGAACATGCTGACCTCTGACAGGCAGGCCTTGCTTTCACTGCTGGCTGTGAGTTGAAGTCACTGTCTTTAATGATGGCCGGGGGCGCGTGCTGGGCCATCGCATTGTCTTGCTGGGAGTCCTTTGATCTGGGAGGTAAGTGGTTTGTCTGGCTGGGAGGAGGAGAGTGGGTCCTACAAGAACTGCTACCTGAGAGCTGAAACTTGGAATTAAATGACACGCAAATATAGGGAAAGTGGGAACTGTCCCTTTGTCCTGTGTCTGTATGAGAAGTGAAGGCAAATCTATAGTCCAGAAGGAAGAGGGACAGGACTCCTCAGCTGCGGCCAGGCTTCCAGCGTATCTTGGGTTTTGGGCACAAGAGAGGTATGGGATAATTCCATGAACCTGCCAGGCCCAGCCCCACTGACTTCTAGCTGAGAGGGCATGGAGAGGTCCTGGGACCAGGATATCTCTGATTTTAAGCACAGAAGGAACGTGCCTCATGTCACCAGGATGTGGAAGGCCTGCCTCTGATGCCCAGGCCATCCTGATATTCACATTGGCAGCTTCTTCTCCCTATGCTCCTCTTTCAGGCTCATGAAGAGACTCATTCAATCTTTTAAAACAGGAATAGAAATGGAAGGATGGGCACATCTGCCCTCTTTGCCACCTGCCTCCGCCATTCTGTACCCCCACATTATGGGCAAGCCCAACATCATCACCCCTCAAATAATTAAGTCCTAATAGCAGAAAACTGTCTTGTGACAGGATAAATTCAAGTGGCTCTTGGGGGCCTTCTCAAGAGGCAGACAGTTTGTATGAGAGCACTTTACAAAATATTCGTTGACATGGAAGCTATTATTTTATTATTATTAATGTTGTTGAAAGTAATGTGTCGCCCTCACTACCCTTAAGAGAATTGATAGTAGGAGGATTTGGCAAGAATTACAGCCCCCTGGAGACCTGCCTTCTTACCAAAGTGTCTATTTTTTATTACTTTTCTTTATAGATGTCCCACCCAAAAAGGTAGATTCCTTCCCTGGAGTTCAGAAATTCAAAGAATGTTGAACTGTTTTAGGAATTATGACATAGATGAAGTTATATCTGGGAACAAAATTTAAATTACAACATAAACGTATGCAGTGTAAGAGGCTTAGCTTCTGGGTCACCTTCCTGCCATTAGCTTAAGAACTCATGTCCCTGGTTCTTTGGCAAACTGGGTCCTAGATGCTAACCTGGCACTGAGCACATTCCCTCCATGTGGCTTGGTGTAGTGATGAAAACCTCAAGCCACGAATGACGCAGCCTAGGTCAAAGCTTGCTCTGTCTTTCACCAGCTTTGTGTTCTTGGAAAACCTGTAGGACTCTTGATTGCTTAAAAAAAAATACATACCTAATGTGTGGCCTGAATGTGAGAAGGTACCATCTACCGACCAGGAAACGGGTCCTCACTCAGACAGTGACTACACTGATGTCTCAACACTTTCCAGTCTCCAGAACCATGAAAAATAAATTCCTCTGGCTTAGAAGTGACCTAGCCCATGATATTTTTATAGCATCACAACCCAAAGAGGGATTGGACGCATATGCCATGGCCTAGGTCATGGTGTGGGTTTAGTCTATGTCCTTTGAACTGGAGTTAAATAAGAGTAGGATTACAGGAGGGCTAATGGGAATGCATTGTCAACTGACTGAGGACAGAGGACGGACAACTCTATACTGATTCAACCTAGTCAACACTAATGAGAGGAAACCACCTAGAAGCCCAATCATAGAACCTGTCAAATCCGAACATGTGGATTCTGTAAAAATCAACAACATTCTTCCATGGATTCATTAACCAAACAGCCCCTCTTATTTATCAATGCTATTCACCCCAAGTGAAGATGACAACAATCAATTAAATAAACAAATCAAGTTTAAAAAAGCTTAACTCAAGGCAGACGTGATTAATTTCCTCATCATTGATTGACATTAACTATATTAGCCAGCTTTGCTATGGCAACAAACAACCCCGAAAATCTTACTGGCTTATAACTGCAAGCATTTATTTCTTGTTCACAGAGCATGTTGGCAGCTGTGGACATGCTCCACGAATCTTCTCATTCGGATCTTAGGATGAAAGGGCAGCCCCTAATTTAGGACCTGCTACTCTAGCAATAGAAAGGACCAAATAAGAGAACCGGCCAAACGCGCCATATTTCTTGTGGCTTCTGAACTGACTCCATTGGCCAAAGAAGATCACATGGTCCAGCTGACAAAGCAGGTGTGGCAGGTGTGTGTGGGAGGACAGCACATACTCTATTTTCTAAAGACCACTGAAAGTCACGGGGAAACAGCAAAGGTGCACAGTGCTCTGGGTGAAGGGAGGGAGAACATGGACCAACAATCCAGCTTACCCCACTGGCCATCCTCTTCTCATTCAGCACACAGCCGTGAGATTTACAGAGCACGCTCCTTGAAAAGAGTGTCTACTCTATTATCTTTACCTATCTGGTGTATTCAGTGCAGGACCATCTGCAGTTGGGGCCTCATCTTTGGTGTCTCCTATGCAGGGTAGTCTGCCTTCTCCCTCGTGTTTTCTGCTGGATCCTTTGTGTCTATCTTACTCCTCAGGACTCCTTCCTTCTTACACTAAGCTCACTGAGGTGACCTTTCCCAAGAGTGGGCCACAGACACAGCGGCTTCCATGACCTCGTCGCAGCCAGCGCTAACCTGGATTTCCCTCTGTCTCCGGCTGGGGTCATGGGCGCTAGGGCAGGGTCCCTGGTGCCATACCGGCCACCCTTCTCGTTGGTTCCCGAGAAACAGCATTTCTGCTTTTTCTGTTTCAGCTGCTCCTCCTTGAATAATGCATGCCGTGCATACACTGGACCAAGGACAAGCGACTAAGAAATTGGGGAGCTTTCATCGGATTTCATTATTTTGCTTTTAGACCCAAGCATTTGCTGTTGTCAGGCATTTCAAAGAGGACAAGACAACAAGGTGTCCTGAGACAAGCAGGGAAGGTCAGATATGCTTGGGAAATAAAGGGACTGAAGTGAGAAAGGCAGGGAAAGGACAGCCTTACCCCCAGGCACAAAGACCCGAAGGGGCACCCGGCCACATGTGTTCCATAAGGGTCAGGGTAAACCAGAAGTCCTGAGCAAACAGATCCTTAGTGAATGTTTATGGGAAAGTTGGAGGCTTAACACTTCCCAATACATCACTTAGATACAGCGGAGAACTGGCCTTGTGGAGAGCTGTAAAATGGTAGCTAGAAACTGCAATCAGAGTCCAAAGCAGAGGATGATCATCATTAGAGCAGAAGGCCTTCGATAAGGGAGCTGTGATTTCAATCAGCAAGACTTTAAGCTAGTGAATTAGCCCAGCTCGAGTTGCACATCCCTGCCTGGTGTCCTGACTTGGGCTTCTCATGCCTCTGAGATCCCACTGTAGCATGGCTGACCTTGCAAAGATGACAAACTTAACCATCACAGTGTCCCACCACCACCTCCCCATAAGCACGCTCTGCTCTCACCCCAGTGGCTCTTCCCTGCAGGGCATGTGCCATTTGCCTTCTCCATGCCTTTGCTTTTATCCTTGCACCATCTGGAATCCCCTCCAGCCCCCCTTTCTGCCTAACCAGCCACTGGCCATCCTCAAAAGGCCAGCATGAGTCCCACCATTTCCTGAGCACTTAGGCCCACACTGGTCAATGTCTCCTGTCAATGCCAACTACTGCCTTCATTGATAGCCAGTGTGCCTTGCTGTTAATAAAAAGAGTAATATGTGATTGCAAAGCTTTTCCTCTCTGGTCTTCACAGCACACTGCTCCATGTAATGGCACACTCAAAGGCACCTTGGAGGGCACTCTGAGCAGGAAAAGACCAAGGAGGTGGACCCATTTTATGGTCTCACTGAAGTAGCCCTACCCTGATCTGTATGTTATTTTAGAGTTTCATACATGATCTTTCTGTTTAAAAAGGACTGCACTATTGATTTGGAAACCACTGCAGTTTAAATTTCACACTCATGAGAAAGCTTGTGGACATGTAGGACTAGGCATTGCCACCTTTTTGAAGCTGAGGGACCTGAGGCTCAGAGAAACTGTGTCACCAAGTTAAAGGCGGAGAGAGAATCCCACCTTCTGTCTCCCAGAATGCTTTACTTTTATAACCCACACTTGACAGTGGCGTATTTCTGACTTAATTGCTAACACCTCGCTCTCAGCAGCAGAAACTGCTTTTATAATGTTTATTCAATTTACTTCCCGTTCAGAGCACATGTGGGCACACAGTAGGGACTTAGCTGCTACCTCCCTCCTTGGCTTGTTGGAGTCTGCTGTCACCTCTGCCTTTCTGGGCAGCACACGCCCGTGAGCTGGGCTAGGTATCTGGACATTTTAGGCAATCAAAGGGATACTTTCTCACTCCCTTTCTCTTGCTGTTGACATGGTTACGAAATCTTATTAGCCCAGCAGATGAGGTAATAGGACACGACATTCACATTTAAAGTGCTGCAGTTACCTCCTGGAGAATTATGTGTATTTTAGTGATTATGCCGCTGCTGCATCTGATGTAGTCTCTGTTCTCTTCCTCCACAGCACCCTTCACTGGCTGTGGGCATGAGATATTCCCACCAGGAGGAAGGACAAGAGGTCCTGACCACGCTGGCCATGCGGTCAGGGCACTACACCATCCCTACCCTTGTGATCCTAGGAGGAAGGAAGCCAGGGACCAGCTTCAGGTAAGGGGAGGAGCAGAAGCGGAGAGCTGACTTACAAAGAAGAAAAAAAAAAAAGAAAAAAGAAAAATCAAGGTAAAATTGTTTCTAAATTGAATGTTTTTCACTATTTTCAGTGTGGTGTCTGCATTGCTCCAAGATGATTTCCTCTCGGGGCTTTCAGAAAAGCTGTAAATAGAATGAATTGCTTTTAGGGACATACTCTGGTAGTTGGCTTCTCAAGAAAATATATGCTAATGCATGTAGACTATCATTATTGGGGAGACCTATGTACCGACTCTTTTATGTCTATGAAGAGCAGCTTTCTGATTGCTAGCATTTTGCCAAAGTCTCTGTCATGCGTGGGCTGAATATCTAGCATAACGAGGCGGATGCAGCAGAGGCTACATGCTGAGCCTCTCCTAGGCCGGGGTTAGAGGGGGGACTTGGTTTGCCCAGTGTTTCTTATTAAATTAAAAATGGGAAAAGGACGTCTTTGCCTAAGAAACTAAATAAAAGCCAAACCAACCCAAACTCACCTGCGATCCTGGAAGCCTAGGGTGGTTGAGAGGCAGGGAAGACCCCTCCAGGGACAGTGTGCGCCACAGCCAACTAGCAGGTGGCAGCACCTCCCACATGCCCCCAACCCTTCTCCTCTGTCCCTGTGCATGGGGTCCTGGACTCCTTGCCCAGCCAGCCTCTTCTGGGTTTTCTTCTGTGGCGGCAAAGTGGGTTAAACAGCGCTCGGCTTTGCGAGGAACACAGCCAACAAATGAGATATCAAACGCAGCTTCCCGTGTAAGAGATCAGACTCCGGCGGGCACACACGCCGGCGCTCTGCTGGAGCTCCTTGGCTGTGCAGCCAGCTTCATTTAGGATTCATAAATACTTTTGCGCACTCCCGCGCACACACAGCCGCCAAAGGAATTTCATTCTGTGTCATCTGCATTCAAACGCAACAAAGAGGAAAAAATGCAGACGTTAAAAGGAAAGAGATGGGAAGTGGCTCAGAAGGAAATCTGAGGCTCCAAGTGGTGGGTGTTTGGTAGACGATGACTTGATGAAGGGTTCTCTGTCTTTCTGTTCCCACAGAAGCGTCTGGTGGGCGAATGCAGCTGACGACACTTTCAACATGCTGCACCGGGTGTCTGTTAAGGTGGCATCAGCCTTACCAGTGTTGGTCCTAAAGTCCACTTGAAGAGTTCTGGGAGCTGGGAGCTCGAATTCCAAGATCAATGCCTTTGGGAACAAGGCCTGAGAAGCCTTGCAGAAAGCTGGCCAGGTGTCAGATGAGTGTGCCTGCTCAGCCTAAGGGAAGCAGTGTTTCTTGGGCTCCTGCTGGCTGTCACCAGGAGGAAATTATTGTCAGATCCCTTAATATATCAAAAGAATCCAGAAATGTATGTTTTTTTTACACTATGCAACCTCCTGATTTTCAAATGATGAGCACTAATTTAAAAAATTAAATATTGTGCAGGCCAAATAAAAGAATTCCAACAGGTTGCATCTAGTGTCATTTCTACATGAAACACCCTAATCTATCAAAGACCTACCTTCTCTGGCTGTATGAAACTCACGACCTGGTCCACAGGACGTGCCAGGTTCCGGTTTTCTGTCTTTTTCTTCGTCTCTAGCTTTGCACTTTTGGGTCAGCAAGACTGTATGCATTCCAAGGGTAGGACGTGTCTCTTTTCCCTAAAGTTTCCAGATGACACTGGATTCTCAGAAATTTCTTGTGGATTATAACTCAACCCAAGCCATTCCACAAGGATTTGAGGAATCCCACAGAAATACACGCTATAGAAAAGTAAAACAAAGAGTTAAGCACACCAGGGTGAACACTTGCACTTGACCTTTGGACGGGCAGCCTAGAGTCTTAGAAGACACAGTGCTTGGCAAGTTTCTTCAAGATCACATCAGAACATCTTCCTTAGATTATGTGCAAAACCCTGAGGCTTGCGAGGGTGCCTGGCACCTGGGGAAAGCTCACAAATTGATTATGGCGTGAATGAAGAACAAGGCACCTAAAATGGCCCGGGAGGAGGAGGCCTGTGGACAGAAGACACAGAGATCAGAATATGGAATCCAAGCTCAACCTAGAGCTGGAAACCAGAATAATGAATGGCAACTTTTCTATTGAGCCTTCTTTGGTTATCAATGACAAAAATAGAACTAAAACTGGCTTAAGCAAATAGAGAAATGTCCTGGAAGAATATTGAAATAATATCCTTCCAAGCCATAGAAAAAGAAAGGATTCATTTAGACCCACGAGAGAATCTGAACCAGATATATTGTCATAACTCCCGCTCTGTATTTCAAATCTGTCTCCCTTTGAATGTGCCTTTATTCTGTTTCCCAGCAGACAGGCTTCCTCCATGCTTTAGGAAAGAGGGTTACCAACAAGCTCTGTGCCTCACATCTAACAGAATCCTTTCCCAGAGAGGATTGCTTCGCGCTCTCATCACAAGATTAAAGCCCTTGGGGAAGGGCTCTGAACGCCTCACTGCAGTGTGGATGCCACCCCAGAGCCTTTTCAATCAAGGCTGACAGCCACAAGAGGAGGTTGCCATGACAGAATTCGCTTTGGAAAGATACACACACGTGGATACCAACATGGCAGCCTCTGTTCAAGCTACATGGCTTGTTTGGGGAAGAAACATTTCCAAAAATAGGAATAGTTCCCAGAAGAAGGGAAGGGTACTGGCAGATCAAACATCACCTGGAGTCCACAGGGCGCCTGGCTACAAACGACATGTGTATGTATCATCTCACTTTATTTGTTCTTCACTCTGCTCCTGGAAGAGTGCAGAGTACTTGTAATTGCTCCCATTTCACTGTTAGAGAAAATGAGACTCAGAAGAACTAAGCAACTGAATCAAGGTCACCTAGATTTTCTAGCTTTTAAAAATGGTCAACCCAGGACCCAGTCTAAGTTTTCCCCTTCAGCTTCAATGCCAGTGCTCGTTTTCTTATATAGGAGGCCAGAAGTAACGTTGTGACACTCCAGAAACAGAGTCTCTTACTGCACGATCATGCTTTTCTGAAGGATTTAAAGCTTGAGCAGTAGAGTCTTCCCTTGGTCACTGCTCTCAGCTGAGTTTCTCTCAGTTCACAGGGATTTCCTGAAATATGCACCCCTGACCTCAGCGGCCTTCTCTGCTTGGTTCACAGCTCTTTGTCTACCTGAGATCCATATCCAGAGACCGCAGAGTCACCTCATTCCTGATAGGGTAGTTCTGTACATACAGAGACAGATCTTTCTTGTGACGTAACTGGAGTCCTCTGATCCCAAAGCACGACTACCTGTGAAAAAAAGAGACTGACCAGAACAAAAGAGAAACTCCTGGTGAGGATTCTGGGCTAAACTGGCTGGAGATGGCCATGCTCATTCTTGAGCTGGAGAGTTCCTCTTGCCTTTGGTGGAGGGCACCACTTTATATCAAGGATTAAGGCCATGGTAGCAGGCTGTGTGACATTTTTTGCCTAAAGATAAGAAAGAGGTCTCCCCATTTGTATCCCTTGAAGACTCCTATAGACTCACCAACTCTTATGACTCTTCATGCTTCCTTTTATCCTGTAAGTCGGTGTTCAGAGACACACTGAATCCCCTTGATTTGAGCTGGGTGAACCAGGACCTGTGTCCAAGCTGCCTTGCCTGCGTGTAGTAAGTGCAACATACTAAAAAGAAAGAATTACGTTTGACTCCAGAGTGACGTCACTGCCGATGGCATCGATGATCTATTAGAGATGTAGAAAATGTGATACTAGTTATTGACAGAGGAACCCACGACAAGGTGAAGGCAAGTTAGGCTTCTATCGCCCTTTCTGGATGAATCCTCCCTCTCTAACCTACGGTGATTTGCCGTTCCCTAGGTTTGGCCTCATTCATAATTCAGCAATCCGCATGGCAGGAAAACATTTAGAGAATTTCTTTTGCCTTCTTCGAAAGGCTGGGACAAAGGTGGCTCGCAGCTATTCATCCATGCAAGGAAATCTATCTCAACTGCAACCTGGTGGAAGAGACTGAGGCCATGGCCTCTCGTTCTCTTTTGGGGACTTGCCTAAGGGTGACATAATGAATTGCTCTTACCTAGTCAGAGGAGAAAAATACAGATTGGATGAGATAAATTGATGTCACCCCAGTGTTTCCAGCCATCCTAGGGGTGACACACTTCTGCCTTAGAGGTCTTGTTTTCTCAGAAGGAAGTGATGGTACTTTTGTGTGGCTCATAAAGGTAAAAAATGAAGTTCTCTGGTTGTTATAGGGAAATTTAAATGAAGTGAGTGGTCACCCATTTATTCATCTTAAACATTTAATAAGCATCTGTTATATTCTAGAGTTGGAAGTACTCAAGTCTACGAGAAGACACAAGCAAATATACACGGCATTATACTTTGTATTTCTGGTATCTGAACTTTTGGAATCATACTTTTATTCTTTCTTCTGACAGATAATTATGAAGCACCAACTATGTGCTTGGAACTATATTAGTTGTGAGATATATAGCAATGAATGCTACAAGACACTATTTCTAGGAAGGGTGAGGAACAATAAACTAGTACACAGAACACCTGCAATAGTTATTACAGGAGTTCCAAATGGAATCAGGGGTGATACAGAAAGTGATGAGAGTTGGGGGTAACTTCAGAGAAAAATGTCTTTTAGAAGAAATTATGTCAGAGCTAATCTTTGAGAATTAGAAGAAGCCCATCATGCAAAAAACATTTTAAAAAGGTGATTAAGAACAACGGTGTGCTGGTAAATGTCCCACAACTGTTTCTTAGGGGAAAAACACTGGTTTGCAGTGTTTGCCAGGCTCCATGGTGTAAATACCCCCATGCTGTCAATTAAAGCCAGCTAGTGAACCATACAGAGCGTATGGGAAGAGAAGCGTGTAATAGGTTCATCCTAAGTTATGCAAGTGGCCTCCAGCATGCCACTGGTGGCAGTTACCCACTCATACCAGGGGCCAAGCCAAGAATGAGTCCTGATCAAAGCTGAGGGGTCAGCCAACCAGACTGATGCAACCCAAAAGAGTTCTCTGGGACTGTGTGGTGGGGGTAAAGGGTTGTTACATTCAGACACAACCTCCGTGTTTTGTACAGATAGCACATTGACCATTCAGGGCAGACAGCACTGTACCTGTTGCTTCTTGGTCTCATTTTAAATAGGATATTCCCATACCACCCACTTAGATATTTTCTGCTTAATGTAGTAAGTACAATTTAATGTATGTGTGTGGGTGTGCACGGGTAGGTGAACAGTTAAGACATGGTGTCAGGGACATGAGAAGTATAGAGTCCTTGTCCTCATGCCACAGACAGTCTGTTAGAGAAAACAAGGCAGGAGGAAAAACTCACATTTATTGACTATCTACCACTCATATAAATTAGAAATCCCAGAATGGGAAACACAGGAAGATCGTATGCATTTGCTGTGATGGATTTTAAATGAATGAATGAATTTTTAATGCTTGATGTAATTCAGAATTTTCAAGAAGGACAGAGTTTCTGGGCCAAAAATCGGTGGCCAGCCAAGATGGGTGTTTTTGTCAGTTCAGGCCAGAAAATGGCATCAGATAAGAACTGCTCGCACTATTATTTTAGATGATCACATTGTTCAGCTTTACGGAACACCCAGTAGATCAGTTTATAAAGTTTGATCATTGTAAACCTCAACAGCCGAGTATCTAGAACCCAGGATGGTAGCCTAAGGTGTTACCAGGCAGCTGTCAATCCATAAAATGCCTTAACAGTCCTGAGACTAACAGGATTGAGTATTTCCACTTCCTGCTTGGCGTATGGATGCTATGATTTGTAACATGAAGTTTACATAAAAGGAATTGTTCTTTCTGATTGGCATTTGGGAGATGTCCCTGATGATAATTGCACCGCTTTGAAAGGGTGGCCAATAATCTTTCAGTGTCTGGGCTTTACAAACCACTTTGTCAGACGCTCTGCAACGATATATTGATTTGCCTTTGACAGCAATAAAGAGTTTGAGTTCCTGGCAGGAAAATCAGAGGAGAAATCCAGCAGAATTGTAAAGCTGGGATCTAAGCATGGAGACATTGGGGCTGGTTGTGCATCCAGAAGAGAGAGATGGGTCCTTAGGAGAGAAATTCCTTTCACTTCTAAGTGAAACACTGCAGTAACAGCAGCAAAGGCAAGAGAACTTTGGGGTATAATGAATTTTAGAGAATGGAAAAGAGATGTTCATTTTCTAGAAATAAGTGAATAGAAAATCATGGAAATAGGCTTCCAAAGGAGAGCACGATCAAAAGGTTCAGGTACTGCCAGGTAGTTATGAGATCGACAACTAAGGCGACCGAACGTGTTACTCATTATTTTAGTGAGAGCTGTTTCAGTAACACTCATGTTCCCACAGTGCTCTACAGCGTAGAGGGAGAAAACACTTTCTTACCAATTTGCTCATCTCTTGCTCATAACATATATAATGAAGAAAGTAAGGCTCTGACAGTATGTGGGTGATTCCGAAACT